CCTCTAGCTCACCAGAGACCCTCCACCTGCCTCCCCCAAACGCCGCTCTCTGTTCTCGCTACGGTGACCTCCCCTCCGGCTTTGCTCTCATCCCTTCTGCCCCGTCTGGCTCCGCCGCTTTGCCGGTGCCAAGTTGCCTTCCACAGAACCTGCCCAATAACACATCCTTCCTCTCCCTTCACCGCGCTGTCTTCGTCTCCTCCGTCCCTGCGTGTGTTTCGCCCCCTCCCCTCTAGCTTCTCCCGCTTTAAGAGCAGACTTCCATGCAGATCAGCTAGCCCCCCGGCTCTCTTCCCGCCCCCGCTGCCCGGCAGGCTGGCAACGTTCAGAGCCACCCGCCTTCCCAGTGCAGCGAGCCAACACATCCTTCCTCTCCCTTCACCGCGCTGTCTTCGTCTCCTCCGTCCCTGCGTGTGTTTCGCCCCCTCCCCTCTAGCTTCTCCCGCTTTAAGAGCAGACTTCCATGCAGATCAGCTAGCCCCCCGGCTCTCTTCCCGCCCCCGCTGCCCGGCAGGCTGGCAACGTTCAGAGCCACCCGCCTTCCCAGTGCAGCGAGCCTTTCACATTTGCATTGGTCGGAGGAAATGGGACGCAGCGTTACTTACCGACGGGGTTTGCGGTACGGGGCTTCCTGCCCTGCTCTTCTTAGATATCGAGGGAGTTTTCATCAACTCGCGTTTCTTTCTCGAAAACATCTTTCCCAAAGGTGGAGCGAGCGCGTCCCAGCAGCCCACCTCAGAGGACCCCAGCCTCCTCGCGCCAGGCCGGGCTTCGCTTCCTCTTGCGCGCGATTTCCATCCACTGGGGCTGGGGCCCGAGCAAAGATGCCCAGTGTAGATACAGCTCCGGAGCGACTCCCTTCACAGTTCAGCTACATTCGCTGGCTGCCTAACTGTCAGCGCTGGGGCATGTGATGCAGCCTTATTTCCTGATTGGCGGGTCAGGCCAACCTGCAAGCACTTCACAGGAAAAGGCAAATGTGCAACAAACCAGAAAAGAGCCGCTCGCTTTTGTTCTGAGGGGCTGACTTGTTAATATGCGCGGAGCTGGAGATCGCTGCTCGCCCGCTGGAGATCTTCCCTTGGGTGGGGGCTGGATTTCTCTCGCTGGCTCTTCCCTGGGTTTTTTTTAGCCTGGTTTCACAGAGGGGAACTGAAACCAGGAGAGAGTAGAGGGGACATTTTCAAAGACCCAAAGGAGACCCCCCCCCCCCAATTCCTGGTCACTTGCAGCAGGAGTCAGGCACCAAACCGCCTGTTCTCTTTTCAACACGCCCCGATGTATTATATTGACCTGGCTCTCGACTGCCATAATCCAAGAGCATCTCACTGTCTTTATCTGTATAACGTGCTTCTCCACACAGCCCCTGTCCCCCATTTTACAGATGGGAACCCAGGCCCAGAGCGGTGAAGTGACTTGCCCAAGGTGACAGATAGCATCAGTGGCAGAGGAGGGAATCCAGCTATGGGGCAAGGACTGTCTTTTTGTTCTCAGCTTGTGCGGTGCCTCGGACAGGAGCAGGTCTGGTCCATGACCAGGCCCCTGGTGCTACAAATCGATACTAATCCCCTCTCTGATTTCTTAGAAGCAATGTGTCTTCGCCACCAAACATGCTGGATTCTCCTGCAAAATCTCTTGGTCGAACTGCAACTGCTGAACGAGAGCCCGGCTCTGTGAGGTCGCGAGCCCATCCCAAGAGGCCCAGCCTGGCCGCCCCTCGCCTGGGATTCTCCTTGCCACTAGCCCCACGAGCTCGGGGATATTCCAAGAGGGATGGGAGCCATGGGGATGGGAAATCCAGGGCTACCTGGAAATAAGCCAGAGAGGGACCTAACCCCTCGTGTTCTGTGGCCTAAGGAGGCTCTGACGGGGGTAAGCTCCGTGCCGCAGGGAAGATTTCCTGCCGAGGCAGGAAGCATCTTGGCACGTGTCGCTCTCCGCGAGCGGTGGCAGAGCCAGCCTAGTCATGAGCAGAGCCCTGCGTGGAGACACTGCTTTGTATCGGCAGGGCTCGCCCCCACACAACCCG